TACATCAGTTTGACCTGTGTGTGATGCATTGGCGTCTCCGGATGCGTTCAAGAACAAACGAGAGGATAAATCGGGTACAGTAAATACAACAACACCATTAGGGCCATTGATCCTAGTTTCGGACACACAACACACATTAATACCCAGTTGATCTATTTGTCTTAGAGTGCTAACGTTGAACGCCGCCATGGAAACTGGACAGCGTGGCCTTATAAGGGAATTTTGCCTATCGGCGTCCGATGGGTGTTGTGGGAAGGTAGCTGCAGATGGTTCTATTCTAGTGGCACTTCGCTTGCTATCAATTAAGCTGGGAATTATAGAAGGAAGGTTAGTAATGGGCTTTGGGATGGGAATTTGGGAAATATGGAAAAGAAAGAAGGGAGGCGCCAACAGTAGCATGTGTTCGCTTATCCGCCCTTGCTATATGCAGCAGTAAGGCGACCCTTGCTAATCTGTGGGACTGTCGATGCTGAATGAATTTTATTTTTTAAAAAAATGTCATTTTTGTATGTAGGCTCAAATACTACTAGTGCGCCCAGGCCTAGACATGATGAAGTTTTGGGTCCTCAACCAAAGTCTTTGGCTCAAATTCCTATCCGCAAGGCAGCGGGGAGGTAGCAATGATTTAAATTTGCAGAAATTGTCACCGTCCTATTTTAAACCTCAAACGTTGCGGACCAGGAGACTTGTTTTGTCTGACCTCTATCCGTTGACTAACCTGGTAGTAGTAGCTCTCAAGGGTCCCGGAAGCACCACACTGTTTAGCTCAGTGGGACAGGGAGGTACGCAAACCGTCGCACCACTTTAAGATCCAGTCTCGTTGTGACAGTTCCATGGTGCAAAGCATAGTCTGAATCGACTGGCAGTCAAGGGTAATTTGGCTAGTGTTGCGTGACACGTTTGTGAGCTTCCACAGACCACGATGATGTCTCTCATCTGGGAGCAGTCAAACACCTAAGTCGTGTCCAGTGGAAGAGATTTTCCTGACCTTGTGATTGGTGAAATTACATGTAAAAGGTGGTAGCAACCATCAGTGTCTTACATCGCTAATGTTTCCGCACCGAAGCAACAGCTTGGCTTAGTTTTTACTCCACCCGAGTTTGGCTGGTTAAGCGCACGGATAATATTTACCTATTTCCCTGGCACACCTTTTCGTTGTCAAACAGTCCCAAAAGACACTTATAGTACGAATGGAGGGCAAATTTGATGTTTAAGTACACGACAACGTTGGCCCGCCAGTATATATGTGACGGTGCTCCAACAATTGACCTAAAGTGAAGTGGTGATCGATGCAGCCCTGACCTCCATGAAGCCCGAGCCCAACTTAATGACCCCAGACCTGCAATTTTCCATAGCACTCTATAATATGTTATCCATAGAGAAGTTAAAGTAGAAGAGTGATTTGGGTAACCTTGTCTCATGCTAGTTTTATATTAAAGGTGCCGAAAGTCCGCCGTACATCTGCACTCGGCCAGAGGTCCCGGAGTAAGTGGCTTGAAGCATGTTATTAGATTGCTTGGGACTCCTCTTCTCATCAAACAGCTGAGTGAAGCGCTGTCGATTGAGTAAAATGCAGCACGTATTTCCCGGATGCAAACAATGGTAGGTCGGTTGAAAGCTCGACAGTGCTCAAGCCTTTAGTGGATTGTAAAATGCAAACAAGACAGCTCGGATCCAGGTTGATCCAACCCTTCCGTCACGTATGTTATGTTTGGGTTCTCGGCTTAGTCTTTGTAAAAGCTGGGAGGACAGCACTTTGGACGCAACGCAGAGAAGACGGATTTCTTGAAATTTTTATCAATTCGTTCAGCCACCACTTTGAATGATGGGCAAAATGTCCGCTACGCCTCATTCAGATGGGATGATTTCTGCTGTCCAACCCTCTTGAAGTAGGACAGTCAATTCAGGTAGGAAAGACGATCTTTCATTCTTGAGAAAAACCGAAGACAATTCGTCAGGACTGGGACATTTTTGATGTTTCAGAAGACAAAGCTCATATCCAACTTCGACCTTACATGGCGAAGATTTGCTTACAAACTAGGGAGCACCGTGGATACAAGAATGGCAGCTCGATGGCAATGGGAGCCACTTGAACGACAGCTCGACGTGCTCTGCCCAAAGTTCAAACCAACTTTGGCGGTTGTAAATTGGTTCACTTATGATTTCACATAACACTCAGTTTACAGTCGTTTTCTTGCCACCGGTAAATCGAATACGAGAACAGAAAGAAAGATCTGTGGAAGCTCCCTCAATGTGCCGCTCGCTCCATCTCGACGACATGCCGTATCCATTAACTCTCGCTCTGTTGCACAAGTTAACAACGAAACGTCTGCAACCGAAACTCCCAGCTCGGAGAACAAAACAGCCCTCTCATCTCGCGATTTTCCTTGAGAATATGTTGGGGCCCGGCTGGGACGGCTCTGCAGAAATTTTCCGGCCGTCTTCTTTCAGTTGACTAGTTCTAGCGGAAATGTACCGGTTTATGTTTTGATTCACAAAAACAGCAGAACATTCTATTATCCGTTGAAGTCGGGTATGTAATAAAGAAGCAACCCTATGCCCTGACTTCAGATCCAAATAAGAACAGTAATTTCTCGAATTGACGAGAATGGCGATCTAGATTGTTTTATATGACGTGAACAAATTATCCACTATCTGAAGATTTTTCCTTAAATATCGTCGGTTATAAAAGCTCTGCTGTGTGTACAAGTTCCCCTTACTTTTAACACTAGACCAGCGGGTTCGGGCGAATCAAATTTAAATCTTGAGAACCCGTTTAGAAAATTTATTCTTGTCTTTATCCAAACAAACTATGCGCTTCAGTTCCCCCGCGGTTATTTGAAACGCTCATTGCTTGAAGTCAGCACGATATTTGGAATGCTGAATCGGTTATGCCAGTTCCTTGAGCACAATGCTTCTTTCTTTATGGAATACTACGAATAAAAAGGTAATTGCAGCTTCATTGCAAAAATAAATTCATATACTCAATTGTGATATGCACACCGTCATCACATTTTACTGATCAAATCAAATTGTGATAGAGCCGAGAGTTACATTGCAATAAACTAAACTTTCATCACACACCCTCAGGTTGTAGGTTCGACTAAGATTGCGTTAATTTTTATACCCAAGCTTTAACTGAATGATCCATACAACAACACATTAACGCTGATGGTTGGAGAAATTATGACCTTGTGCTGAGGAAACGTGTAAACAGCCCTCGGCCTACGACAATCACTTCGGTGATTTTGAAGTATTTCCGATTGAACGATGAATGAATGAAGTGGCTAGTTTGGAAACAATGGCATGCTCGATGCGGTTAGGTACATAATCGCTGGAAGACCAAAGCGAACGCAGTCGTTTACTTTCTTGACTACAGAAATTCAAAAGACCAAGTTAACCATGACTAGACTCTGACGCGCAACAAGAAAAGGGAGGATGTCTGTCCAACTGCATAGAAGAATCTAACATATGCTAGCTTCATACTCAGATTTCCAATCCACGTTGTGTATCTGTGCTCTTCAACTGTGGAAAATTGTTTCGGCATCACAGTTGCCCATGGCTTGTTATTGTCACAGCAATTATTAGATAGTTCCGAAATCAATCGAATTTTTTCCATTCCAGAATTTTCTGAAAGCTTCTGGAAGCTTTCACACTAGAGCAATAATCTAACACTGTCCATTCATATTACATGTTAACAACGGCTGCGGTATTGGCTAATAGTCGACATGCTGTTCGGGGAAGCGTATTGTACAAGTGCCTACAAGGGCGCAAAGCAATAGAGGCTTATCGAATCATGCGTGGTATACTAGGCACAAATGCTCCGAGTTACGGTATAGTGGGCTTTTGGTTTGGATGATTCAAAGTAGGCAACTACGATTTGTTCAACACCGGAGATCAAGGACATAAGTAGGTGGACATTGACAGCAACATCCAGGACGCTGTATGGGAGGATTCTAGTCAAAGTGCGCGGGAATTCACGTCACACCTTGGCCTTCCAAAAGCCACCGTTCATCATCAGCGCCAATCCGGAATGCTGCCAAATCTCGGACAACTTGTACCTCACGAACTGACTGATGAGCAGCTTCTGAACCGTTATGCCATTGCGCTTTCATTGCTCACCTGAGGACTCAATAATCTATGGCTGAACGATATCGTTATTGAATACGAGAAGTGAGTGCTCTTCGGCAACCAGAGCAAGAAGTGTCAGGGGATCGCAGCAGATGAAACTCCAGTACAAGTCCCGAAAGGCGAACTGCACTGCAAAATGTGCTGCTGTCGGTCTGGTGGGATCGCCGCGACGTCATCTATCGGGAATTGCTACCTGACAACTCCAATGTCAGTTCCGGTGTCTGCTGTCAACAACTGCTAAAGATGGTCGACGAACACCGAAAAAGCGTCCAAAAGCGACGGGAATCATTCTCTTGCATGAGAACGCATGTTCTCATGTGGCAAAGATGACGCGTGTCCAAATTCGACAGCTCGGTATCAGAACTCTTATGCATTCAGCATATAGCCCTGACTTTGCTCCTACTGATTACCACTTTTTCCGCTCGCTGAAAAATCACGTCAAGGACAATTCCATGACCGCAACCATACTTAAACATACCTTGTCCAATACATTGAGAGCCAGTCCAGCTCGTTCTATGAGAGAGGTATCGACACCTTGCCTGAGGGTTGGCCGTACGTCGTCGATAAGAATGGATGTTACATTGATTAAATAGTATTGATGGTTTGAAATAAATATTGATTGAAAAAGTGTGCCAAAAATTCCTTTGATTTCGAGACAACTTAATAAATGACAGGTATGCATAAAACAAGGCGCCGTTTTTCTTTGAGTTCAGAGAGAGCCTCCTCTTTACCCTCCACTGTGTGGTCTTACGATTAATTATACCATGTATTCTAGCGCATCATCTCTGACAAATTCTCCTGGTACACACAAGACCATTTGAATTTCCGGCCATGTATTGACAACGTAATATGAATGTGAATAAACTTACTCTGCATACGCAGAATTGTTTGTATTCGATAACATCACACCTCCGGGTGCCCTCACGATCACAGTATGTTCCGCATGTAGTGTCCGACTGGCAGTGACCTGAACAGTACGACAGATTGCCACGTAATATGCGGCACTTGGAAACGGTTAAATAACATGAAGGATGGAAGCGCTCAATGACGTGCAACAGAATCTTACGGTGACATGTGCAACTGAGCACGACAGTTGTCTCCCATACTAAGGCATACTGCTCACACGACGACCAGATGGCTCAATCAATAGGTCAGTCTACCGGAAGGCAACCTGGACGGATCATTGCTTACATTATAAGAGTTTCTAGCCAATCCACCACAAGGACTCTTTAGTTCAAATCTTGTTCCATTGAGTTCCTACTAATTGCACCACAGACACACTAAAAGCATAGAAAGAACAGCTATTTGACATGTTACAAACTAATGGTTATCCACTGCAGTGCATAAATGGCTTCAGTGATTCTATTATGCACCAATTCAATGGTTACTTTTTCTAGAATACCCAAGCACCTACCTGGAATGGATGTGCCACATTTAACCTATCTTTTTTGTCTTACCTAACTTGGTTGTACTTCGCGGTTATTTCACATGTTGTCCACTACACTGTTGTACTCATCATGATCCGTGATACCGTTGCTACCTTATCTCTGATACCTTGACATACCGACACGGCGAGCTACGGCATCTTCCTCTACGTATTACTATGTAAGCTATGTAACGTGTTGCTCACCAGACTATGCTGCTTACATTCTGCTCCTTGAAATCTTTTTGTAGATTACATAATCCTAGTCCAGCTGTCCAATGCTAACTAGCACAATGCTTAGAGAGCCGGTGCATTGCCGAATAATGATTCAGTCCATCTGTGAGCTCATTCGTATTGAACGTGCGCGCGGAGTTTCCGAGTGAACTGTGTTGTTGATACCGATCAATGCTAGGGTGGTAAAATATTGAGTATGTTTCCAGTTCGGTAGATACGTATGAATTCAAAGGTTACCAGTGCTCGGCCGCTTACAACACGCGAAAAGTGTAAACATTGACATCTGGAGCACAATGCTCAACGATTTTCCCTCGTGTGACCACGATGGATCGTAGATCCGAAGAGAAATTACTCGGCAAATTCCGTCGCAGGTGAACAATTCCGGCAATTAACCAACTAGCGATTACCATGATGTAGACAGTTCATGTTACGCTCCACAGGTTAGTGATGACAGTGAGCATTGCTTTATTTCCCGTTGTTCATCAGCCATACCGAATTTACCGTGGCATATGACCTCAACTACCAAGCAGATGGTAGACGGAAACGCAGAGATGCTTACCAGAAGTTGAATTGGACATGACCAATCTTCCGGATAGACTAATAAAAGCAGTGTCATATGGTAATGATACGTCAGTGTCCTACTATATTACATCGGAAATGTATCGGCGCATAGCGACAATCGTTTTAGGAGCACCGAATGCCTGCACACGAGACGTACGATGCAGTTCGTTTTCAAATAGCCTATGGCCACAGCAGGGTACAGAGAGAATGTACAAAGGGTTGGGTACTTGGATGACAGCCATGCTACTTCTCGAAGGTTTGCAAAACAGTGTGAATACTGTTTAGAATGCCGCATGTTTGGCAGTGAGCAGCAGGAGTTAGTTTATTTAGAATGACGGAAGTTGTGGCTCCAAAATGGCCATAAGCGACGAATATGTGGTATTGACACCTCTCATTGCTTAAGGTTGCGCCAAAATCGTACATAGGGCAGCAGATTATCGGACCGGTCGGCGACACGGAGAGCCTAAAGTGAACATCCCATCGCATTCGCACGCTGTGCGATCTCCCTCATCAGCTACGCAAACCAGACTGTGCATATAGGAGGCAAAACCTAAATACACACTATTATACTGTGACAATTGTTTATTAGTCATCTACCTGATAAGCATACCAATGGCAATTGCGTCAATATTCCTATATCGGTTTCGTTCAAATATGGATGTCCAAAATTTAAAGTTGTCACGTCTAATGTTAAAGAAAACACCAACAATTCGTAATAGGTACTTATTCTCATGCCTGTGAATGTGGTTATTAGCCTTATCTCCAAACGATACCCATACACGTTGTCAGTACTATGGTTCATGAGGTCTAAGATGTCTCTATCCAGTTTGTGGCAGTTTATACTTAAGTTTGGACAAACGAATATGCGGATGTTGTATTCGAACAACCGTTGGAAACGGATGACGCCAATCTAAGTATATATGTATACTGAATGAATTCCACGAGGATACTAATACCCGCTTTTGTACAGCCAACTTAGTGCAGGGAAGCGGCGTTGGGGCAAACGGGAAATAACATTATCAGGACATCAACAAGGTGAGTTTATGACAAACTGAAGTTAATTTCAGGTGTTGCGAATCCAAGACAAATTTAATCGATGTGAACTCTGTGTACTGCTCAAAAGCGGTTGCCCAGGTGCAGGAGAAGGCACTATTGCCCGCGGAATAAAATCACGATGCGTACGCTCACTTTCGATTGATTAATCTAGGACAATAAGGCGGCGTATGTGGTACGTCTGCCTGCGTGATGAGCATTATTGCATTTCAGAAGTAGATGTTGTTTGAGTTCCCCGTTGTGGATGTGCCTGATGTGAATGCTGCCAAGGTACCACCTACCTGTTTAATGCCCTCCACCTCGATTGCTGGCTCCAGGCGGCAGTTGATCGTTGCTGGTGGGGACGGAGTGCACCGTCCTCGTGACGGTGCTAGGCTCAAAGGATGCTTCCATGCAACCTGTGTGCAACGGGCTACGGGCCAGTCACCACCTTGTGTACGTCTGGTGTGCATGAATTCCCAATTAGGCCGGAATGCTACTGTTCTGCTTGTTAAAGGTGTGCGGGCCGGCTTCGTTGATGAGACGTGGCCCCCATTCACATGCCTCCCGGTCTTATTCCTTTGGGTTTACACCGGATATGTGGTGCGTCGGTGGAACTGTGAGTGGTGCAGCGCCAGCCACCCATGGTCCCTCTGTAGGCTCAGAACTCCTGTGGCTGTCGCCACTGACAGGCGGATCCAGATACGGATGTACGCCTAGATACTGCTAAGATATCCAGATCTAGACAAGAGGACTATTCGGCTCAAAAGCCTGTCCGCAGGGCAGCGTGGAGTTGACGATGATTTAGTTTTATGGAAATAGACGTCACCCCTTTTGTAACCCCCAACATGGAAGACTGGAGATTGAGATTTTCTGACCTCTAACCATTGACCAACTTGGTTTGGGCAACTCTCAAGCAACCCGAGGATACCATCCATATAGCTCAATGGGTCGACGAGGTACGCACTACATTAAGGTCTAGTCTCATTGCGACGTATAATCTAACCAAACCAAATAGGCTTTCGGTGTCTTGTTCAGCATAAGTTCTTTACTTGCATGCATTCCTTCATGGGAAATGTGGTTACCACGAGTAAAATTTGTTTCTCTCTACGAAAATGGTGATTGAGATAACAAGCAATGTAATTTTCTTGTCGGTTGTTTCCTTTCTGCGCAATCCGTAATCGGGAAGGGCGTACATCTATAGACGCAGTGTGCAGCCACACATTTAACACAAAAGAAGTCTGTTACTTGTTCAAACTAAACCATTTGGAGCGACACTCAGCAGCTGCGCGAATTAGACGGAGTTCCAAATCAGAAGAATCGATTCAGAGTGCAGGTATAGTCAAGACATGTGCATCAGTTGAGGGAACCTGGAGCTGAACGTTGGTGGATGAAAATTACCTAGCTCTTTAACGTGTATTGGGGAGTTCTCCTCATCAACCGTAGTGGAAAAATAAAATAAAGCATTTTAATTCCAAAAAGTTTGTGATATATGAACCAAATTATTATGCATAGATTTCAAAAGTCAACATGAAAACGAAGGTTAATTATTGCTGGGTTTATAAGGATATCATGGTAATAATAACAAAAAGATCATTTAGTAGCACGAGGTTTCAACATGTGCCTTATTTGCCTTTTATATTCCAACGGCAAAGTCAGTCAAAGAAACGCCGCTTAGCTCGACTATCGATCATCTGCTAACTCGCTGACACTTGACTTCAACTGAATTAACAAGCTGTCATCCATCACATCAGATGATCCCAAACGAACGATGAATTTATACAAACTGGCTTTTAGACTGGCTGTTCTAAAATCCAGCATGGTGTTCCATTTGCTAAGTGGTAGGAGGATACGCCGAATATAAGTGTCCATCAGTTACCTAACCGGTATGTTACTATTTATTACCTAAATGGAATATTGTAATGTGAGTGATGAATAAATGCTTTTCATGTGGAGCAGAGTAAGAAGACCAAGTTCGCTAGATGCATGCATTCCGTCTCGTCTTGTCAGCACCGATAAAGGGAACTGTTCACTATACACAATCGTTTGAGGTTTTAAACATATTTACAGAAAAACGGTAGTAAAACGGATGTCTTGACCCTACATTCAATGCAGCGTGAGGCTGACTGATAATTACCTTTGAATACAAAGCAGTGGTGTGATCAGGCTTCTTGCAACAGACACAGTGAACTGGAGGAGCCAGCACTTTTTACCTTTTTGTACTCAGGAAGTGGAAACCAGAGGGACCAACCTCGAGATTCACGTTGAATAGGGTGATTCATATTGTGGACTACCCTCTCGATGTAAGATGTATGCAATTAGATAACCGACCTATACTCCACACGCTTAGTCAATCTTCATCAGGACAAAGTGTGGACCCACCCGATACATTGGCATGTAGCCCTGTTGACACTGTGGGAAGATTTGTGACATGTTCATAGCAAGTTAGTGCCACGTAATTCTATAAAGCCCAGTACAACATCTTGACACCACTGGTTTACATGGTTAATTCATCACTGCACTTTCCTCGAACGTCAACAATGGAACTAAACGTCCGTTAACTTGAATGGATGAGATTCCCGGACGTGCCTGATCGGGTAGCATTACCTGATTCTCAATATACATGTGTGAGATTCTAGAAGTGCTGGCAAGCTGCAGGCATTGCTATTCTGCTGGAATTTGAAAACCAAAATGAGAGATACCGAGGCCGATCCGTT